ATATAATAATAGTTTCGCTTCGTAGTTGTGGAAATTCCTGAGAATGCATCCTAAGAGCATCCTCGATTTACGCGTCTGTGTCGCCACATGCTCAGAGAATGTCATGACGCTAGAGTACCTGAGTCCTAGGCCAACAACACTGAAGTTTAGGCAAGTCAAGAGATTCAAGTACCAGTTTCATATTTATTGAGGGTGCACCGAAACAGATCCAACCACATTTTTTAAGGTTGAATTTTAGGTTCCATGTGGAGGACCATGCAGTTACTCTATCTAGTTCTTCCTGAACAGCTTTCTGAAAGTATCCTAAGTCATCACAGTGGAATGTGTAAGCTACTTTGAGATCATCTGCAAAGATGAATGGTTTACCAAGTGAGAGACAGCCGCATATGTCGCTGACATATAGAGTGAATAGGAGGGGGCCTAGGACGCTACCTTGAACTGCTCCAGAAGTGACTGGACTAGGTTTAGAGTTTACAGACCCCAGTCTATTTACTTGGGACCTATTGTTAAGGAATGATTCAATCCATCCTAATAATGGGTTACTTATTCCTAAAGAGTTTAGCTTATTTATTAGAAGCAAATGGACAACGCGGTCAAAGGCTTTGGATATGTCGAAGTAGATGACTAGTACTAGTTGTTGTTTGTCTCGGCTGCTAGTTATATAGTTAAAGAAGTCAAGGTGACATGTCATGTATGATCTGGATTTTAGGAATCCATGTTGGTTGGGGCTTAGAATATTGCAGCTGAGCATATGTTTGAGAATATCATCTTTAACTATTCTTTCAATGATTCTAGATACTATGGGTGTAATATTGATTGGCCTATAGTTGTTGACTTCAGTTTTCGATCCGCATTTGTGTTTGGGTATTATAAATGTCGTTTTCCATTTATCTGGATAGGTTTGGCTTTCTAGGGACATTGTAAAAATCTTGAGTAATAAAACGGAAATGTCAGAACCACCGTGTTCATAAAGATACGATGGTATACCGTCAAAACCAGCACTACTAGAGCTTTTAAGAGTATTAACGGCTTGGTTAATATTAGAGTAAGTGAAATGAACTGTAGTGATTTGTTTCAGCGTTGAAGATGAAGGGAGCTCTATTTTAGATTGTAAACCGAGAAGTGGACTTGTGGGCCTAAGGTAGTTAGCTGCAAACGTCTCGCTAAACAGTTGACACATGTCTGCATGGTTGCTGTATAGTTTGCCCTTGTTTATAAGGAGAGAAATTTTATGGCTTTGGCGATTCATTCGTTTCTTTAGTATTTCTGTGAGAGCACCTACTCTGGTGGTGCTGGCTAGTGCGGTGCATTCTTCATTTCTCATACGCAAGTTATGAGCTTGTGAGATGGAGCTAAGAGTACTAAGTATTGACCCTAGTGTACTAAAGTCGTGTCGCCTGAAGTAACTTGTTGACAGTCTTTTCAGTTTCCTACGATCCTTTGGCTTTATGAATGTCTTTCTGTGTGGGGAAAACTTTAGTGTTTGAAATGGGATGACAGCATCTAAGCATGTGTTGGAGTTATATACATACTGGACTTAATGAAGGTGTGTGCTTCACAACGCCGGAGATCGAGAGGTTTGAAGAGAGAAAGAATGAACATATTTGCAGGATAATACGAGCTCGTTTTATTTCGTGGATTCTCATCAACTGCATACATCCTAAACAAAATCAAATTATAGGTTTCAAGGAAGTTGTGGAACATACTTTTTCATAAATACTTTGAGTTATAGATGGAAGGCATAAGGAATATAATTCCAGAATTTGATGTAGGTAGACAGGTTATTCGTTGTCAAAAAACAACTAATTATATATAGTGGAATTAGATAAGAGGGGTAAGAGTTCAAATTTCTATTGGAGAACAACACAGATTGGTTTGAGGCATATTACAGGGTCAGGGTCAGAGAAAAAAGTAAATTTACACATCTTGTGGTGGAGAGTTTAAGAGGGTGGGGGTGGGGGTGAATAGTAAAGTAACATTTATAACTTAAACAGACAAACAATTAAGTAGATTTAGAAACTTGAAGGTCAAAATTGAATAGAATGTTGCGCAACAAGACAAACACACAGGCATACTGACAGAAAGGCAAAACAAAAATAAAATAAAATAGAGTTAGGGTTACCAAGGTAGTGAAAGATTAATCACACTGCCTTTCTGTATACAAAAGTCTGGTCGAAATCTTTTGATAGTAATGGCTTCTGCGAAGCGAAGTAGCCGTGGGTTTTTTTGTGTATTGATTATTTCTACTGTGTGTCCTGTGTCAATTAGATGTCTGGCGATTGCACTTGATAACACTTTTCTTCCTTTTGTACGGAGACTCTTAGGAATGTGCTCAGAACAGTATGTTCCACAACTTCCTTGAAACCTATAATTTGATTTTGTTTAGGATGTATGCAGTTGATGAGAATCCACGAAATAAAACGAGCTCGTATTATCCTGCAAATATGTTCATTCTTTCTCTCTTCAAACTAATAAAGGGAACCGGTTGCATGAAATCGAGATGTTTGTAGCTGAATCGATCAATCTGTGGTTGCCAGTATCTACCAGTAGCTGATAATGTTGCAAGAGATCCATGCCAATAATACCGGTGGCTGCATCTGCCACTAGGAAGACCTAACGAATTGATCTGCGTAAGCCTATGTTAAGATCTAAGAACCTTTTACCATACGTTGTGATTGGCGAACCGTTTGCGGCGCGAAGCTGTAAGGAAAGTGGCCGTTGACGCTCTTCAGGTGTTGGTGGAATCACGCTATCTTCCGCCCCAGTGTCAACCAGGAAGCGTGTCCCAGTGTTACGGTCAGTAACATAGAAGAGGCGACATGGAAGTGGTTCGCCAGCGACGTTAGTCGCCAATACGTGCTGGCTTACTAGTTTCCCGATTGCTGGAATCGAAGGTGCACGGGTGAGTACACTTTTGGGCCCTGTCACCATAACGCCGGTGATACCAGCACACTCCCGGTTGGGAATTGTGAGACCTACGACGCCTACTGCCAGCTCGTGAAGAAGATCTACTACGAGTCGAGTTGGTGCGGCTATTCGAGCAACCTCTAGGTCTCATCTCCTGTCTTATCTTACATATCTCCTCATAAAGCTTAGTTATGTAGGCCACCACATCTAAGTTTGATGACCCCTCGGCAGAGGAGTCCTTAGTCTGAGTAGGACTAGCGGTCACGGCAGCAGAAATGCTCATATTGGATGTAGTGGTCTCCACTACTCAGTCGGCTGCCTCAGCTAGTTCAGATAAGGGGAACTTGTTGATTGGGGCTAAAATTCCCTGAATCGCCCGTAGCAATCGTTGTAACCAAAGCTGTTTTAAAAAGGCGTCATCTATTTTGAAGTCAGCAACTAACTGTCTCATCTGACGTAACAGTTGAGTGGGCTTTCTATCGCCGAGCTGAACATCTCTGAAAGGTTCCTGCACTTTATGTTGGTCGGTAAGTGCAACGCGCTTAATTAGCGCCTGCTTGAGACGCTCATGCAAGTCAGGGGATGGGTCCGCGAGGACATCAGATACTTCTTCCATGAGGTTCTCAGGAAGACTCACGATAACCAGATTCACCTTTGTCTCTTGTGAGTGTATATGTCGGAGGGCGAACATAGCTTCTATGTGGCCGAACTATGCAACAGGACGATGTGTCCAGAAGGCAGGGAGTTGCAATGTGATAGCCATTTGTGAGGCGGAACTGTTGTCGACCATCCTGCGAACAAGACGATTTATTAATAGAATGATAACAACAAATATGATAACAGAAAATATGAGTAAAAACAAGGCAAGTAAAATTTTATAACTAAGTGAAAAACAAAATTGTCAATATGAAAAAGGACTATTTACACGTTAAGCTACTATGGAGGCAAAAGGTGAAAACACGGGCTCACCACTTGTAAGAGTTAGGCTTGGCTTAACTTAGACCTAAAATAACCACTCTTACAAAACTTCTTCACCGCTTATGATCTTAATCGTACTCTGCCTAACGTGCAAGTACTAACGAACGGAATCAAGGTTAAAAGACTTGAGATGGCAAGTGTGACTGGAACAGAATTGTATTTACACAAAAGAGATATGGAATTTGATAAGAAAAATGAGGTTACACACTTATCTGCAGTCTTGACTGTGGTAGGCTCGGAGAGTGCGCTGGATGAAAGCACAACGAGAGAGCGAACCAAGAACGTACGAGAGTTTCACGAATCGAAAGAGGAAGTAGTGCTAAAGGTCAGGTGAGTCCGTTCAAACAAAAGTTCGAAGGTTCAATGTACACTACAGAACTGTCAACGCTGATCATTTAACCCATGTTAGCTGAATTCAGACTCAGCTATCTGAAACCATGATTCTGTATTATCTGGCCAAAATGACACCAGTTTTGGTAGTTGATAGAATACAAATGACCGTAGGAGTGTGATCATTCATGGTGAAATATATATAGTTTGAAAATAGTACAAGAACAACAATGAATGAACTTACCGGATTTTTCTGTGTATTTACCAAAGATGAAGTTCACGGTAGGGCTCACCAATTCAGAGGCCAAGGGTGTTGACGTTCACGGATAGTACGAAGTATACTAATGCAAAATATAATACCCACAACTTCTGTAGTATTCGTTCCACGTAGGCCAAAGGCAAAGCAAAACACCAGAATCGGTCGTCCAAATTACGAGTTATATTTCGGGATCAAATCGGAGTGCGAGATGATTGCTTAACTAGCTAGGGGTCGTGCACGAACGTAACAAGACACGTCAAATGCTTGACTGTAGGCATTCAGATAAATAAATCGACTAAAACAGTGAGGGTCAGCATCCATTTTTCACTGATAAATGCTGTGGCCAATAATTCTGGGGAATTACCTACTGCTACATTCCTTTCTGGAGTTTCTACTGGTGCAGTTGGAATTTAGTCGTTCTCCTCAGCTGAGCCATTAGGTTATTCAAGGGGCAATTAAGCTCCAGGTACTTGTCACCAGTCTGCTGAATATTTAAATCAACTACTATTTTCTTCTCAACCGGTGACAAGCTTTCACCTACTTAGGTGGTACAGTTTGTCAATACCCATTGTGGGACATCTACTAGCTGATCATGATAGCTAAGTATATCCCCATAAATGAAAGCAGAAGTTAAAAATTTGTCTGTGACTATGAAATTGAGCTAGTTCCCATGAAGCGGCATATTTAGAGTGAGTGTTACTGTAAGCTGATTTTTCGTGTAGTTGCTCAGACATTATTTTTAACTGGGTTTATCCGTTATTTTCTATCCCGTCTGCGATTATTCAGCTCAAATATGTACATGGCTAAGTTAATAAACAGTTACTGTTACCAGCAAACGAAAGTGACGGGTGTCAGAAAGCTGACACAACACAGAATACATTTGGAATATTTTTTTCGCTTGCGGAAACTATTTTTCCACATTACCAGTTCAAAATGAGAGTAACCGAATTGCTTATGCAGACTTCAGTCTCATTCATATTAGTTTTGGAGCCTGATCAGATAATAATGTCTTCAAATTTTTGGGAAGTTAAAATCTTTCAAGTTCAACCAGCTTAGAAATAGTTTTGGTATTTAGTCAACATCTTAGCTCACATGTTTTGAAGCACAGTTTGATGTGGAAGGAACTGAATTATCAGCGTAGGACTTTGCATAGGGTACTATTTCAAGTTGCCACACTTCATTGAAGCATATGAAGTAGACCAAAAAACTTCAGTATAACTACAATAAACATAAGTGCACTAAAAGTAGTTATAGGCGGACATAACGAGTCTGGAAGATGGCACGACTGAGGGAATTCTATTGAGAACAATTTCAAGCCATTTTATCAGCTGTTTCTAACCACTGATTCTTAGCATATTGAGGACTCCAGACAGGCAGTGGAAACCTCCTAAGGTGAAGTCACCCTTTTGTTGGAAATAAATGCAATGTAACCTTAGAAACTCTGCAGATACATTGACTACCACTAACAGTTTCAGTACTGAGTGAATAAACTTCCTACCATATTGTCCGAGTTATTGAGTTTGATTATGTGTAATGAATAAGCCAAACAATGCGTCTCACCTAATGTGCTTATAATTAGCAAATAGTTTGTACTTTGTTGTGCTTGAAGCATTAACAAGAACATCAGTTCTTGGATGATTCTGAAGAATAATACAGCTGAAATCTGGATTTTCACATGATAAATAGTCAGTATTATGGTTATCTTCATATTTTGAAAATAAATATCCAATTTGCTAACACCGTATATCCTGCTGCTAATGATATGGTAGTAGCTTAGTTGAATTTCTCCAGCTAATGTTCTTGGTTTCTTATCACATTTCGGTGTACTTTTTAATAGATAATAAAGTGGTGCAATATTTCATAAATTATTCATACATGTCTTCAGTATTGATTTCCGTTGACATTGAATTCATAAGTGCACAATTTTAAAGTATTTTAACGACAATAAATATAGTATAGATTTTACATACGTAATTATTTTTCAGCTTTCAGCCAGCGAGTCCCGGGTTTGAGTCCCACTCCACCTACTTCAACCTGAGGAGCTGGGTAGTATCGGCATCCTTACCGTATCCCGTATTGTGGTATAATATAATTAATATTGAGGTTACTTGAAAATTGTTAAATAAGAAGGGCCCTACCGATTAAGGTGTCTTGGGCACGTGTTAGTTATTTCAAACCATCTCCTTTCTTATTGAGCAATGTTAGCCAATACAGGGCTAAGCTGAGAAAGTTTTAGGAGTAGTCAAACCGACATATGTTGTTGGTTTGAGTTATGTAGGCTGCTCAGCTGGTGTCCTTGTGACGCTAATACCAACGGTTAGAGGGCGTTGATAATATGGCTCAAAATTGTTCTCATTGGCGCAGATGCATTCACTCTTTGTGAACTCGTAGATCTATCAAATTCTCACTAGTCTTCATGTAATTATTCTTTCTACAACACATCTTTCTTCCATTATGGTTCTTTTAAATTTTCTCTCTCTACTTCTGTGTGCTATATAATATAGCAACTTGAACTGCTCGACTTCTGTGCAGTCCTACGTTAAAAACTCTCTCTCACTAGTATCATCAGCCTTCGCATAATAAGTGTGACTCATGGTCTGGCGCATGAAAGGTATGTTCCGCTTAACCGACTAACTTACTGACTAGTATGACTTAGGACTAGCTGAACTGATGAAACGTGTAATATGTCCAAATAACCTTAAATATGTAATGATGAAAATGTTCTCTTTCCGCAATACATTTATTAAACTCAGTTTGTTTCGCCCTGTCTCGTTTTAGAAACAAAAGTTGTCCTCAATTGAATCAAAAACTGTACAATGAACACAAACTTCCCACCTTCTCGTCTTCAGGTGTCAAGTTTATCCTGTAAAAATAAGTGTGGTTTTTATGGAAATCCTTCGTGGGATGGATATTGTTCCGTTTGCTATCGTAACGCACATCAGAAACAAACAACTCTCCGTCAAACGTCTACAGCTACAACAAATTTGTCACAGAGCTCTGATACAGAAGTTAAGCGCAAACAAAGCACTGGAAAAAACTCGACCATCAAAAATATTTTCAAGGTTCCTCGAGGTAAGGGCCAATCTTTTCAAATGTTTCAGATGATAGTCGTGAACCAAATCCAGTAAATCCAGAAGAATGCTTGCAAGCTGAACAAGAGTTTAAAGCCTTTCTGAACACTCTTCGAGCTTCTATAAATGCAGATATTTCCCGTCATGTAAGGCGCAATTTGTAATCATGGAAGTTTTCCTAAGGTTTCAAAGCTTTTGGAACAGTTAGAACCTATTCGTGGTTCGAACATTAATCAGGCTTCAATGATTGTGCAAGATTTTTACCACAACATTTCCAACCGTATTTCAAATAATCCTATGTACTCAGTGAGTCGTTATTTTGTTTTCTTTACAAATAATTGAGTGCATGGAGGATTTCATCATGAGCTGACATCAGTTAGAGAACCACTGGAAAACCTGGTTCTCTAACTGATGTCAGCTCATGATGAAATCCTCCATGCAATCAAACAAAATCCCTACAAAAACCAATACTTGAAAATAATTGAGTATATTACCTTTCTCCTGTTGGTGTAATGCAGTAAAACTTAGACCTTTTTAAGTAACCATATAACTACTTTCCTCCTAATCTAAATATAACCTGCATCTTAATAGTCTGTAATCTTTCCTTGTTGCTGCTTTGGTTGTTTCTCTGAGTAAAATTAGAAGTATTACTTCCACGTTATTTATTTTTATGAAAGCCACAGCCTTCAGTTATCGTATCGGCTCATACCAGAAGTTGCTTGTTATATAATTTACCTTTCCTTGTTTTCAAATATTGATTTGCAGGAATTCGATTGATTTCAAGTCTGATCACGAACTGACTTCAGTTGAGGAGCCACTGAAAACGAGGGAGTACTGAGCAGCTTTGTCGCCCTAGTTTGGGATTCTGCATCAGTACGCACGCATGACCCCACTGTCAGAGATTGAACCCAAAACCTTCGGGTTACAAAACTAGACCGTAGATCATTCGGCAACTGAAGTCAGTTGGTGATTAATCTTTCTTTGTTTGTTTATGTGGTGAGTAAATGAAAGCCTTTCATGATATAATTGCTTAAATTATTACTGTATTATCATCATTATTATTTTATTCCATTTATTTATTCACCCCCCCTACCAGAGTTTATCAGTACAAACCAGGGATTCTATACTAAATTCAGTAGAGCGTTTTGTTACAACATGGATTTATTTTTGGGCTTTTGCTTCCCCTACAACTGATGATGAAAATGTAGACTTGAAATTACAAGAGAAAATTCGTTCATTACACTGGGTAACTCCTTACCTACTTGACTCTCCAATCAATCCAAATTCCCCGGAAGAACTTACTCATTTGGATTTAGCTACATTTGGTAAGTCTAATTTCTTTTGCATAGGCGAAACTACAATGCTCTCAATCGAATGTGTTCATGACTTATCTTTATTTATGTGAACTTTACGGGTTTTTATACAATGGTTGTAAAACTTCATATATGATGCCATTCCAGTGCCAGTTTTTAATGCCATAGCTAAAATCAGTTCGAACAAATTTGATTTAGAACACCTTAAAATAACTTCTCAAAGATATTCTGCTGCCCAAATGTTGTTTATCATGTACCTTTTACTCTGATCATACTAAGATCTACTTATATACGATGTATTTATTTTGATAAAATCCAGTATAAAAACACTCAGTAATTTGATAATATGTAGGTACTATTGCTTCTTATTGTTTTCTATGCCCCCATAAATGACCTGGTACGTCTGAGGATGAGTAAGCTTCGGTCTTTCTCTTGTGATTCTCTCATGTGGCAATACGTTCACAGTCTCTGTCAGGTAGGTCCTATTTACTGCCTTCACGCGATGGGTGGGAGTGTTCCTCATAGAATGTCAGGCGCTTACAGCTGGACTAGTTGACACTCTAGTCTACCTAGAAAATCCTAATTCCAAACCTATCGTGTGCATGGGTCTAAGAATCCGATTGGATCGAATGGCGTATCAACCTGTTTTGGACACCGGAAACTATGTGAACGTGGCTATCGACGCTGCTGCACTGCCTTGTGGATTGCACTTCAATTCAAAGGCTTGGAGGATAGCCCCTTGAGATGGTCTGGCCTCAGGGCAGTATCCCAGTCCTCTCACAAACTATGAGACTTTTTGTGGCTCATCTCTTGGTGACCATAATGTACCAAGTTTATGTTTTAATGAAATAATATTGTTTTCTATAGATCTCGATCTATAGCTTATTATATTGGTGCTTGGTTGCTTGGTTTCGCCGTCCTTATTTAGAGAAGTGTTGTTTATAATCCTTCTCAAATAAATATTCAGGATGTTAGCACTTGTATTTGGTAAATTGGATTTGTTCATTGTTTAGATCACCCACCTGACCGATAGCTGCTACCTTGACATGGTGGTTGGGCTTGCATATCGCAATGACCCGACAAGCTACACTGGCTGGAACTATTGTTCCTGCAGGTCCTACCATGCCAGGAAGCTTGTTAGGATAGCGATTAGACTAAAAGCGGTTACCGGCATTGTGTAACAATTTTTTTACACTATGCTGAGGGTTTGTGGGCGAAGTCGTACTGCTGGGGTACAGGGATGTAACAGCAGTAAGGTGTGTTTCCCTCATATCACCAACATGCCAGCCACCTATGCTGTCTCTCCACTCTGCTGGAGATACGGGGTTAGAAAAGGTAAAACCCAACAATTATACATCCCGACTTACCCTACGGTGGTCCGTAACCGGCAGTAAGTTTACTCATACGGAACCAAACCAAGAAACCAGTTCATACAGGCCGTGTGTGACCGGCCTCAAGCAGTTGTCCCCTGGGCTCTGCGGTCACGCAACACTAACCCTCTCTCTGTTTCAGGTACCCGAAGACTCAATTAGATCACTCAGATAGAAAGCAATATTTATTTTGGCAACCTTAGGCAACATCTCAGGGTCATCAATCTCTAGACAGCATCTGAGATTACTTTCGTGGAGGTGTCGCAGACTGTAACCTCGAACACAGTGATGGCTGCAAGTCCCATATCGATGCTGTTTTTGTGTTGTTACTGGATAGCAAATAATTAGGAAGTATTGATTGAATATTTCAACTATTGGTTAATGTGTTTTCAGTTGCTTTCTGTCATAGTTGACTCTCGTACTCATAAATCACAAACTTCTCTACAACAGTTCCTTTTTTAAGTGTAGTATCTACCTGCTTTTACATCTCTTTGCTGATTTTGGCATTCCCTGATAATTTAATCTGCTTTTTTTGGGAGGGGGGGATGGTTCTGTTCAAATATCAGTGATTCCCAGGTTTGACCATCGCTTCTTGCGTTTAAAATGTTGTGGTGTTCATTGGTTGACGGAGTTCTGAGTAAACTGATACGGGAACTGTTTGATGATAATGATAATAAAATCTAGATGAATGGCTTAAAATGCTAATTTAACCCTATATCTTAAAACTGCGTTTCAAAGATTGTATGAGTTGCTTTAGGTACGTATTTTTAGACTCGGTGATGAAATGTAATGACATCGGTAATAGTTATTTTCGATGAAGATGGTTGATGGGTGACTGACTGACTGATTTCAACGTAGAAATTTCAACAGATGTGCAGCAGTTCGAGTCGCCACACTTCGCCTAGCACACAAAGCAAGAGAAGAAAGTAAAAGGAAATACAAGACAGAGACAGAAAACGGAGATATGAGACAAAGAATAGTAATATGAAAGAACAATATAGTTTCATTGGGTATTATAAATCACAAGGAGTGGATGCATCTACGCTGTCATTGAGAACGAGGATTTTGAGCCATATCACCGACTGTCTCCAGCTACTGGTTTTTACCATCCCGAGGACCCAGCCAGTCATGCAGTCTATAACTCCCTACGTGACTGGCTTAAACTAACTGTTGTGGATTTCATTGACTAATGTAGCCATATTTTGGTTTGACCACCTCTAACTCTTTTCTATCCTATGTCAGCTAACATTGCACGTCAAGGAAAGCAATCGATGGCTAGGCAGGCATGCGTAACACATGTCCTAAGCATCTCAACCGATGCAGCTGCTTCACAGTCTCGTCGATTGATTTCCCCTCCTTACCTAGCAGTCGAGCGAAGCCTAACCTCATTATTGCTCACCTTATTCTACCACTTAACACGAGAGAAGATTGATCGATAGCAAGTATGTAACTACTAGTAGAAGTGACCCAAGTGGTCTAGTGGGTTAACGCTTTGGTGTTTGAAACAATGGGTGATGGGTTCAAGTCCCAATGAGGATTGCAGGCACATCCAGCTAACAAGTCCCAATTAGAGTGAAATACACATCCTGGATTCCCCTGCTTAATCCCCATATACCAAATATACCATATGACCACTAGCCAAAACGAGTCCTAGAGAATATAATCCAGTATCTGTGGTTAACAAATGAACGGTTTAAAACTGCATTTGGGATTGGTAGTATACATGGCATCCTCAAAACTTGTTTTATTCTTACCTAACTCCAGGTTTAACAACTCAAAGTATTCAGTTCTAAGAGTTTTTGACAGTAAACTAAAATCTACTTCCACGGGTTGCTTATTGATCTATATTGACTCAATTTTTCAAAATTCTGTAGTGACTTACAACGTCATTTATGGCCTGAAGTGTCTATCGTCACTCAATTTTACTACTTAGCATATGATATTATTACTGTGATTGGTGGTTGAAGGCGAAATCAACGTGTGTTTGACCACCAGTTATTTTTTTTACCTCTTAAAACTAAAAGTACATGAATAAAAATCAAAATAATAAATAAAAGCAGCCCTTATATCCAACCTCGTGCTTCCTGCTGTAAACGTAATCCGAAATTATTGAATTGATTTCCTTTACAGCTGATTGATTACAAGCAAACTGAAATTCTCACTTAAGTGTTACACTTAAAATCATTATAATCGCTCACTCACTCAATCACTATGTGGTATCTTTATATTACTTTTATGCTCATGTGTAGTTGTTTCGTACCGTTTATCCATCCATATTTTACCTTTGGTACTGAGTAAATCAACCAAGCTCATTTTTTTTACCTACAATTAGGACGTCAATATTTAGCCTTATTTTCAAAGTGTTTTGTCTTGATCGAATAACTTCCTCGACGGACAGTGTTAGCTGACATAGGTCTGATCAGGTTGGAAAAGAGCCAGTGGAGGTCAAACGAAAACATGGCTTCATCAGTCAATAAAATCCACAGCAGTTAGTTTAAGCCAAGTTGGGAGGTGTAGACTTCATGACTCGTTGGGGTCCTCGGGATGGTAAACACCAATGAAGGCTGGAGACAATTGGTGGTATAGCTCAAAATCCTCGTTCTCAATGCCTGGCGCAGATGCATCCACTCCTTGTGACTTATAACATCCAATAAAACTAAATGGTTCTTCGATATTACTATTCATTTTACTTCATATCTCTGTTTACTGTCTCTATTTTGCATCTCTTTTTACTTTCTTCTCTTGCTTTGTGTGCTAAGTGAAGTGTGGCGACTCAAATTGCTGCACATCTGTGCAAAGTTCTACGTTGAAACCAGTCAGTCAATCAGTGATCGGACAAGTTGTTGAAGTAATCTGACCTTTATACACAAACATTTAAAAGACTATTATGCGTCTTCAAAGGACTAGCACATTATTATTATTGTTATTGAAACACAAACTTAGTACATTATGGGCACGAAGAGATGCACTACACAACATCTCACAGTTTGTACGAGCGGCGAGAGCTGGGATACTGCCCGGATGCAGTGAATTATCGTCAGGAGTTACGCTCTCTTATAGTTTCTGATGGCCAAAACGCGTTCACATGCCATTCGACCCTTTGGGATTCTGGAGCCATTAGGTTTGAAATCATGGTTTTCCAGCTCCTTTGGATAGAACAGAATGCATCTTGGTGGGGGGGGGGAAACTGAAGTCTGCTTACGCTTGTCCCATCCCAGGTCGTTTGTGAGGGCCCTAACTAACGCAATTAGTATTACCACCTTTTTTAAAGCAAACATACACGCATACACACTATGCTATGTGCTCATAATATTTACAGTGGTGACAATTTAGCCGTCACCAAGGTATTATATTGTTATAAATGAATCACTACTAGGTGCTTCACAGTTTTGTTCACCCTGTCTTTAAAGCTCTATCTTGTGGGGTTCTGAATTCAATTTCTTTAATTTCTTTTCCCCACTATCCCATATATGTTGCCTAGTGTTTTCGTCTGGATTCTTGCACATGAATTTTCTCTGTATGTAGTTTCGACAACTAGAAACTATAGAAAACTTAACTTCTCTTGGGTATCAGGTGTTGTACTCATTCTCCAGATTCAGTAGAGAAGGGAGAACAGGCTAAATTTCATGAGAAATTCTTTCGTGAACATCGGTCATGTAAATAAATGTTCCGTCGGATTAACTTTTTGACCTTGTTATTAAGACATAGACGAATAACCTCTTAAAATGTAACTTAAAATCTTCATTAGATCCTACAACAAAAAAGTATTCAGTAAATAGTTATTATTATTGTTTCCTTTAATTCCTAGAGTAACATAGGGCTTCAGCCGTGTGTCTCCATTGCGTTCGGTTCTCTGCTAGAGTCTTCACCCGGCTCCAAGTCTGCCCACACGTTTTCATCTACTCTTCACATGACCTCCTCCAAGTCACCCTTGCACTGACCACCAACTCGCCGCTTCCCTTTCGGGTTCCACTCGAGTGATGGCTTGTCTAGTGATGTCACTTGATGGTTTCCTCAGAGTATGGCCAATCCACCTCCATTTCTTCTTGCCTATTTGTTTCACAGTCGGTTCCTGGTTGGTTCGCTCCCAGAAATCTCTGTTGCTGATCTTTTCTGGCCAGCCATATGTTCTTGAGTATTGAGCGAAGACAACTGTTAATGAAGGTCTGTAGTTTGTTTGAGATGCTCTATATGACGCGCCAAGTCTCTGACCCATCCGTATAGTAGCACTGACTGACTGACTTCACATTGGAATTGAAAATCCGGATCTTATTTTTGATGCTGAGAGTTGTTGACCTCCACACAGACTTGAGAGTAGTGAAAGCTTGTCTTGCTTTCCCGATTCTTGCTTTGATATCCTCGTCAGTTCCACCTGTAGTTGAGACGATGCTTCCCAGGTAGGTAAAAGAGGTTGTTTCTTTCAGGTTCCTTCCATTTATGCGGATTGTTTTCTGTTGTTGTTGTTCTTGTCCAGGAATCTACATCACCTCTGTTTTCTCTATGTTCACCTGAAGTCCTATCTTCTCTGGATGCTTCTTCTGCCAACTTGTTGCTTTTCGCTTGCATATCTTCCAGTAAATAGTTACTCTTTCTAAATCTTTTTCAAACTGCAATTACGTATGCACAATACGTACTTGGCAGCAAAAAGAAATATTCTCCTGAATCTGCGATTCAGGAAATGTCTGTCGCATATCTATTAGAAACTGTGGTCACAGCGCTGCAAGCCAAAAATTGTAGACGGCAATTTACGTCAATGTTACCTTCCGAATCGTGGTCATGCGAAAAAAATAATAACAAAGCCTAACCTTGAGGAACTCACCAACCAATCACAGCAGACTTAACGTGTGCAAATATGATTCGCAGATATATGACTTAACTTTCTAAGAAACGGTCACAAGCAGTACAGAATAACCTTCAGCAAAAAAACAACCAGTCAGAAGACGTTGCTTCTCTGCTAACAATAACGAATAACAATGTACATAAAAATCTATAAATATATGTTGATTTTCTCAATAAACGATTTGTTGCCTGGCCCTTGTCTTCTGTTGTTAAGAAACAACTTTTCCTGCAGTTAGATTTCAACTTACTTACGCCATTCAAACAGTGATATAGCTGTGTGTTAATAAAGTAGAGGTTACTGTCACTAACCTCCTCACCTAGCCCTATGGAGAAAGGTATGTCGGTCGCACTTAGAGTTTACCTTCTAAGTGTATCGTAAAACGTATGATTTCCTGGTTTTTCAAAAAAACAACAACATTTAATAACTCTTCAAAGAGCTCCTCATACTGACATATGGCATTGTGTAATTTACACTCTGAGATGTACTGTATGATAATATACAGTTATTAAAGTTCAGTTACGATTCATCATATGTGTTGAAACCAATTCATACTTCGCTATCCAATTTTAGAATGTTTCTTAATTTCTGGCTTTTAAACCATTAAAATGATACTCCAAAATGTATAATGATTCACATTCTATGAAAATTGACCTTGTGATACGATGTATCTTGTTTATTAAGTCTCCACAAGTCATTCTGTTGCTTCAAACTATTATATGCTCTGTCAGTCAAGTATCTTGGTGTAGATCTTGTCAGGAACCAGCGTCAATTAGAGAATCATTGAAAGCCAGGAAGCACTGGACAGCTGCTTCTATCTGGTATGAGACTTTTCAGCAATGCACACATACACGACTCCACCAGGGGTCGAACGCAGGATCTGCAGGTTACGATGCCAGCTCATTGAGCAGTAGTCAACCATTGGGCGGGAATTCATAATGACCCGTGAATTCTAACTTCTATCAACTTCAATATAGCACCACCGTCAATCAGTGCTATCGATCAGCCTCTAACTGATGTCGTTTCGTAGTGACATCTAACTAACAGTCCAATACTCACAAGTGAATGTCTACGCAATTGACTTTCTGTAGTTCTAATGAAAATTCGTGGCTGGTGGGATTCACTAAATAAAGTGTGAGGATAAGTACTTGCTGATACCATTGGACTACAGTGGTGGTATATCGGTAAATGACAGAATTTAGAGTTCATGGGTCACTGAACTCCGATCCAGAAAGTTCTGACTTCGATGTCTGGTGGTGTCGTGGGCGCGCTATTCTGAAGAGTTCCAGACTATTATGAAACAGATGTCCAATTCTCCCTGGTTTCCAATTGGTTCATGGCGAAATCTACATTGAGATTAATCCGAATCCCTACAAAATCCATAATCTGAACTCACGCATTACTGTTATCAGTGATCCTCCATGCATCCCTTCTCTATCCAGATATATTACTATGGTTACCTGGCGGATACTTCAATAATTTTCAAGTATTGGTTTTGTAGAGATTTTTGTTTGTTTGATTTGTTTGAGGATTTCATCAATCATGAGCTGACGTCGCTTAGAGAACCATTGGAAAACATGGGAGTTAATGGACAGCTGTTTCGTCAGCCTAGTCTGGGACTCTCCAGTAGTACGCACCTACCGGGGTTCCAGCTCAGGACCTTCTGGTTACAAGGCTAGCGAGCTCGTAGACCATTAAGCCACTGGGACCCGATCCAATGACCAGTTCATGAATTCCAGCTTCTGCCAATTCACGACATAGAGCGACCATTTCGCAATGTCTTCTTCAATGAGTTACTGCCTCACCTTCAACCTGCTGTACCCTACTGGTCACGGCTTCCCACTAGAACCCCAGGTTAACTGCCTGAATAGGACCAGTCGCCAGTGAGCTTCAGACCAATTTTCAAGTTTCGGTTTTTGTAGGGTGCAGCAGCTTGAAGGTGAGGCGGTAAACCATCGAAGAAGACATTGCGAAGTGGTCGCGCTGTCATGGATTGGCAGAAGTTGGAATTTGTGGGCCATTAGATCGGGTCCCAGTGGCTACTTAATGGTCTACAAGCTCGCTGGCCTTGTAACCAGAAGGTCCCGGGTTCGAACCCTGTCGGTAGGCGCGTACCTCCTAAGAGTTCAAAACTAGTGAACCGAAACAGTTATCCAGTACTCCCAGGTTTTGCAGTGGTTCTCTAATTAATGTCAGCTCATGATGAAATCCTTCAACCAACTTCAATAATTGTTTTTTATATTTCCCCTCCTTATCTTATTTTAGCTCTTATCAAAGTGAATACACTTCTAGCCTCTGAGGATAAATTGGATCAAATAGTTGAATGCTGTCGCAGTGTCTTTGATGCTTTAAAAGTTCACTATCGGAATTATTCTGTTAAAACTCAAGAATATATGTACAATAATGCCACCAATGATGTAAACACTGCTACTAACAGTAATAGTAATAGTAATACACCGTTGGGTTCTGTCTTCAAGCCAGGTATGAATAATTCAACTCTACCGAAAACTTCTACTAATCCTATGCATAATAATATTGTCGAAGAAGATAATACTACAGCGAATGCTGATGATTTCCTACCCACATTAATATGGGTTGTCCTAAATTCAAATCCACCGCTGATTTACTCGAATTTACAATTTATTATGCGATTTGCTAATCAGAATAGATTGAATAGTGGAGAAGCTGGTTACTTCTTTACAAATCTGGTGAGTTGTGATTTAGTTTTCATTTAATTTATAGCAGGTTGAAGATAAGGTAGTAATTCATCGAAGATGATATTGCGAAGTGGTCGTGCTATGTCGTGAATTGACATAAGTTAGAAGTCATGGACTGGCCATTGGATCAGCTTGTCCCAGTGGCTTAATGGTCTACTAGCTCGCTGGCCTTGTAACCAGAAGGTCTTGGGTTCGAACCCTGTCGGTGAGTGCACGCTACAGAAAAGTCCCAAACTAGGACGAAACAGTTGTCCAGTAATCCCAGTTGGTTTTCCAATGGTTCTCTAACTGATGTCAGCTCATGATGAAATCCTCCGTCTAATTTAAATTAATGATATTATTAGTCATCGTTATAAAAGTGTTTATATTTCCCGGTGATAAAATCACTGTATTATACAGTAATATTTACTGATGACAACGTTTCGAGCGCAATTTATTGCTCCTCACAATCATATCAAGCCACTCACACAACTTTCTTGCTTCATTTATATACATGAGTAAAAATTCATGATTAGACATTTGAACAAAATCAGTATAAGATAAAGTACATTCAGAAATAATATTAGTGTTATCAATAAAATATAACAAGATGGGAAATAAGATGTTTTTATAGTAAAAATAAGCAACTAGTAGATCAGGAGTAGTCAGATTGCCTGTCATAACATAAGTATTTAGCTAAGGTTAGAATGATTGATCTGACGAAGATAAGTAATTTAGAATAAAGGTCAGCAATCGCACTACAGGCATTAACACACAACCACACAATAGAGTGCGTGAGGCAGAGTCAAAATTCTAAAAAGTAATATAGGTAGGTGGAGAGAGTGATTGATTACTGAATCCTGGTTCATTGAATCTACACCCAACACAACACATGCAACCCAACGCAAATACCAGAAATATGGAAGATATTATTACCGCCAGTCAAATCAGAGGAGGATAATAAATAATCTTAAAATTTATTCAATTCACATGATAACATTCTAACAAGTTATTTATTTATTTTAATATAAAAACATTTTATTTCCCATCTGATTGTATTTGATTGATAACACTAATACTATTTCTGAATGTACTTTATCTTATATTGATTTTATTCAAATGTCTAATCATGAATTTTTATTCATGCATATAAATGAAGCGAGAAAGTTGTGTGAGTACCTTGATATGATTATGAGCAGTAATTTGTGCTTGAAACGTCATCAGTAAATGTTACTGTAGAACACTGTGTGATTTATCAAAATAAAATCTTATCCATAATGGAGTTATATTCTGCCACAGTGCCCAAGTTTTATACTTACAACAATAGTACAAAACGACATTGTTAATACCGACGTTGCTCTATTTAAAATACCGCTAGCTTTATCAAAGCAATATTGTTAAAACAGAATTGGGCAGGTTTATCATCGTATTTCTGAACATTATCCGGTGTGGTTAAGCAAGGAGCAAATAAGATCAATTCGTAGCTAGCTCTGTTTTAGCACACCTTGTAGATAGTGTGCGTAAAGTTGATGTTAATACAGCAGTTAAAATTATTTATCGCATTCTCATACTAATCTTAATTTGGCTTTACGAGTTTGTCTTCTACATACAGCAGCCGAAGCCATAGGAATCCACCTATGGAAGAAGCTAAACCTGTGTGTTCAGAAGAAATTCGTACAGCCACTTTCCTTGTCTTGGTCATCGTTACATGAATGTATAAAGCAGACTGTTTCGCACCCCTCCCCCTAAACCTTTTAAAAATTATAATTGTCCAAATTATTTTATTTTTATTTTGACCACTTCATCTTTAATTACGTGTTATTCTTGTGAAATTAATTTATCCTATCCATTTCTACTTTTAAATGTGTATTGATTTTCTGCGTTAATTATCAACCCATTTTGACACTGTTTAATTATTGTTAACAAACATATCAGTGCCACTTGTTTGATAAATTGTTGTGTATTGTAAAAATGCTATATATATTAGAGTAGAGCCAGAGATGAGGATCTAATTGAAAAGCGAATATTTCTTCGTTCAATCCCCTTTTGCTTTTTAAATCAGAATTCACAAAATCTCAGCTTATATACAGTAATTTAATCATAGCTTTTCGGCTTGAAGTAATTTCTTTGCGTTGTCAAGTAGGTGAATTCGTAAGGATAGCGAACCATGTGCAGATTATTGGATTTGATAAGTTTATGAAGTTATGGAAACGGCTTGTGTTTACACAATGAAACTGCCTATCGCAATTGTGTTGATTTTGTCACCTCATAGTGAGGGGGGGAGACTTTGGAACCTGGTCATAGTCTGTTGTGATCCGTCACTCCTATTCAGACAATTAGGATCCCATCAAATCTGAAGTGTTTCTGATTTTTGAAATTTTTCTGGACGATTTTAATACTGTCAATATCGATTTTGTGACCTGATTCAATAAACATGTAGACCTATGGTTGATGATTTTTCAAACTTTTCTGGTTCTATTGGATTTCTCAGTGGTTGATGATGCCACTAGACGCGTACAGTTCTTCGGATACTTAGAGTCGCCGCACACTCTCAACTTAAAGAGACCAGGTTTTCCAGGCGTAGAGCAAAACTGTGCACATCGAAGTGTTGTAATACCGACCTTTGATAGCCCAACTAACTTCTCAACGACGCCAGAGGTGGTCTAAATTGGCGTCTGACACCATAAGCGTTCATTATACTGCTAGAGATTTCAGCCAGCATTGTGATGGGGGACTCTGTAATGCGACACATATATTCACTCTTAGTCTTCCGAATTCTGAAACTCATGACTTAGTTACTGTCCTTATTACACCGATGCTTGTTTGTTATAAAATCATTGTATTTATGTTTCCATATTTTGTATGCTCCCTGAAATTGTGTGAGGACTTGGACTGAATGAACTTCTGTGTTATGTTCTGTGTTGATCTCAAAAACTCTGGCGTTTTTTTGAATACATGCTGTTTTCTTGCAGTTTCAACATTGTACTTATTCATGTCCTTTTGAACTTTACTTTCTTCTTTCATCCTATATAGTCATGTGCTGTACATTTTCTCAGAAATCTAACGCATGAATCACTCAGTTTATCAGAAGAAGATTTCGGCCGATGTATGCGGAAAGGTTTAGCACTAGTGAGACGTTCTGGTGAACCATTATCAGAAGGCGAGAAAATGCTCACAGAAAATGGGATTCATTTGGTGGATTTAGAAGATAGGTAAGCATTTGTTCTGTTTGTTTGTCTGTAAAAGGGGAGTATTGGTTATTTTTCACTTCTAGTTGTGTTGGTTATTTGCTTCCCTGTTTTCGTCTCGTAATATTTCATGCAATCAGCCCATTCGACCTGTCCGTCGCCATACGAAGAAAAATATTTTCAAGTATTTGGTGGGGGGGGGGTAAGATTTCAAGGTCAAATTGATATCGCTAAAATAAAATAAAAGCACCTAGGCAACTAATTGTGTACTATTGTAACAACAGAAGACAAGGGCCAGGCAACAGATCGTTTACTAAGGAAAATCAACACATATATATAGATTTTAATGTACATTATTGTTAGTAGAAAATATAGTCTTTTGATTGGTTGTTTCTCACAGAAAGTTAACCTTGCATCTCTTTGTGGCTGTTTCAGATCATCCATATGCTAACTGTATCCGCCTACGCAAAGCCTTTGTTCTCATTTTCTCACCACCAATATTGGGGACATAAACATTGACGTCAATTACTGTCTACCAACTTTGGCTAGCAGCCAGCCAGCTCTCACCACACTATGATCGACTTGGGCAATGGGTTTTCTGCCTCAGGACTCAGTGCCATCTCTATTCCGTGGTCTAACCCACATCATTTTTATTCTTTGAGTTCCGAGTGAAACATAGAGTTCCAGGCTTGAAGCCTTAAATTTTCAGTGGCCGTGGTGATGAGGTTGTTAGCTTCACACCCAACCTTACCTCTTTTCCGGGCATACTACTGGCTGGGAATCGAACTCCGAACCACAAGAGTGGCTAGTGAGCATTCTACCGCTATACACAGTGACACACACCCTGTTGATTAAGTAATTTTACTCTGTAATGTCAGCTACTTTTAGTCTTACCGCTATCTAACTGACCTTGCTGGTATGGTAGTATATCTGCAGGAACATTGACTCCAGCCAACATGGTTCGATATATCACTGTGCTTTACTAGCCTGACCAGATCAAGGTGCCAGCTACCGGTCACAGTAAACGTTTTACTTAAATATTAGTATTAATATTGACCGTTAGTTGAAAAAGAGACTTTTTATTTAAGTGTAAGGGTATAGTCATTACGAAGAATATGAGATAGTCAAAAAAAATTGTCAAACAGACAGAAAGGCTTCACTGTAATATAAACACAAGGAAATTAATCTGTTATTGTCTTATGATATTATTATTATTCCCTTGGGTTCTGAGTAGAACATAGAGCTCCAGAAGCACATTTCCATTTCATGCTGTTCTCTGCAGTCCTTTTCAGCTGATTGCATGATTGACGATATGGTTTCATCTCCTCCTCACGCGCTCTCTTCTCAGTGTCATCCTCGCACCTACGCCTACCTCGCCATTATCTATTCGGGTTCCACTTGAGGGTCTTATGGTATTTTTTACCAGATTAGTGTAACTCTTCTGATTTAATGTATAGTATTAGTGTGACAATAATGGTTCTTCAAAAACTTCATGCAATTCTTCCCATTAATAAACTTGAACAAAGCAAGAACAACAATTGTACCAGGATAATATGAGCTCATCTTTTATTATTTCAAGGATTCTTCTCAACTGGTTGCAACCTGAACGATAAAAATATGAATTACATTACATTAAAGATTTGAACATAATTTTCCACGATCACAAGGAGTAATTGGTAGGAAGTAAAAGTAACATTAGTCCGGAATGATTTAACTAATTAAGAGTTACAAACACTGACTATTTATAGAATAATTCAAATGAACTGTGATCAATATTTGACAGTTTATAAATATTTATAGAATAATTAGGCAATTAGGCTTGGAAACAAAAACAAGCTGTTGTATATATTTTTTCACCAAGGCAGTGCAAGATTCACCACTGTCTCTTTCTGCGTACATAGATTTGGTTTAAGTCGTCTGATAGCAATTGCTTCAGCAAAGCGTAGCAAGTTAGGTTTCTTTTGCTTGTTGATTATTTTGAATGACTTCAAGTTGTCTACATTATGACCAGTGTCTAATAGATGACGCGCAATTGCACTGTTTAATACTTGTGGACCTTTCAGTCTCAGGTTCTTTGGTATGTGTTCAGAAATGCGGACAATAACCCTTCTCTCTGTTCTTGCGATATGTGCTTTGGCACGTACATGTAAATTGGTAGACACAGTTGGATCTTACATGACAATTTATATATATATATATATATATATATATATATATACAACAGCTTGTTTTTGTTTCCAAGCCTAATTGCCTAATTATTCTATAAATATTTATAAACTGTCAAATATTGATCACAGTTCATTTGAATTATTCTATAAATAGTCAGTGTTTGTAACTCTTAATTAGTTAAATCATTCCGGACTAATGTTACTTTTACTTCCTACCAATTACTCCTTGTGATCGTGGAAAATTATGTTCAAATCTTTAATGTAATGTAATTCATATTTTTTCATCGTTCAGGTTGTAACCAGTTGAGAAGAATCCTCAAAATAATAAAAGATGAGCTCATATTATCCTGGTACAATTGTTGTTCTTGCTTTGTTCAAGTTTAATAATGGTTCTATCAATAACAAGGATGAAAAATTGAGGCGATCTGTGATAACAAGAATAACGAAAAACAGCATGATTAAACAAACAAATGTTCGGGTAGAAGTAGTTGATAAAGGCTAAGAAAAACAAATGAACCGATTAAGTAATGCTAGATTGTAAGGGAAGTAAATGAAACACGTTTTATTGAAGATATGATAAGATTAAGGGATGATAAGAGAGGGGTTGGAAATATAAGTAAGGGGTGCTGGAGACATCATCAGTTGGTTAGGTCTTAATAGGCCAAATGAGGGAGGAATAATGGCTGTAGGAAATTCTTTTGAATGCGTAGTGTAGGCTTAATAGCTCGAATGTCTATCGCCTCAGCTGTGTGCGTGCAGTAGACGAATACAAATAATATGCCCAATGTAGAGTGTTAAGCATTTGTTTTTAAGTCGATTTTAACTTTCCCGTTGT